CTGAACCTGCACTGAAAGAGGTACCCAGTCCCCTCTTAGATAGCTTGGGCTTTGGGGGAGAAAAGTAGAAAGCAGTTAATAAAAGTAATAAGAATCCATCGTGGTGAGTTTGTAGAAGTAGCATTATGGGATCAAACCAGAGACCTGCACCCCCTGCCCCGGGCAGGGACACCTTCCACTGGAGCAGGTTGCTCCAAGCCCCTGTGTCCAACCTGGCCTTGAACACTGCCAGGGATGGGGCAGCCACAGCTTCTCTGGGCACCCTGTGCCAGCGCCTCAGCACCCTCACAGGGAAGAGCTTCTGCCTCAGAGCTCATCTCAGTCTCCCCTCTGGCAGGTTCAAGCCATTGCCCTTGTCCTGTCCCTCCATCCCTTGTCCAAAGCCCCTCTCCAGGTCTCCTGGAGCCCCTTTAGGCCCTGGAGCTGCTCTAAGGTGTCCCCTTGAGGAGCCTTCTCTTCTCCAGCTGCCCCAGCCCAGCTCTCTCAGCCTGGCTCCAGAGCAGAGCTGCTCCAGCCCTCGCAGCAGCTCTGGGGCCTCCTCTGGCCTCGCTCCAGCAGCTCCACGTCCCTCTTGTGCTGTTCCCCAGAGCTGGATCAGGGCTGCAGGGGGGGGCTCCCCAGAGCACAGCAGAGGTTCATGGGGAGCTTCTCCTCACCCAGCACCCCAAGTCCTTCTCCTCAGGCTGCTCCATCCAGTCTCCCCCAGCCTGGAGATGCTCTGGAGGCAGTTTTCCCTGTGAGGGCAGGAGCACGGAGCAGTATCCATGGCACCAGCCCAGTTCTTTTAATAGGCAGAATTTGTGTCTATTCATCTGGTGTGTGTTTGAAAACCACTTTGGGTTCCTGAATTAAATCTGCTGCACAACACAAATGCTGGTAATGAAAACTCTTCCTCTTGAGATTCAAGGCCTGAGAAGTCAAGTGATATTCCCCCCCTTCAGGCACTTCCAGTGTGTAGTTTTTGATCAGGCACCCCGGGGATGTGGCTGGAGCTGTTTGTGTCGCCGGGTGAGTGTTAAACTTTGCTGTATTCACGTCCTTCCACTTCCCAGGAGGAAGAGCTCTTCCCGTTTAACCTGGATGAGTTTGTTACCGTGGATGAGGTCGTAGAGGAGGTTGAGTCTCCTGTTAAAACACGGCGAAAACCACCGAGGGGGAAGAGAAAAGCAGGTGCTAAAGCCAACTCCTCATCCGCGCCGAGCGCCAAGAGGAGGAAAGGGAAGAGGTCCATGGCTCACCTCGCCGAGAGCGAGCTCTCCTTTGTCACTCTGGATGAGATTGGGGAGGAAGAGGAGGTGACAGCCCCGCTCATGGCAGTTGCTGCCTTAGAAGCACTCAGTGACCCTCAGGGCCTGGTTGTAGTGGATGAAGTGATGGAGGAGGAGGAACTTCTCTCGGAAGCAGTGAAGGATCCGCAGTCGCTTGTTACCTTGGATGAGATCTCTGAGCAGGAGGATCTTGGTTCCCATAAAGACACGCCAAGGCTGGATTTTGAGGAGCAGGATTTGAAAGCTGAACCCTTGGTGACTGTGGATGAGATTGGTGAAGTGGAAGAGCTGCCTCTGAACGAGCCTACGGGCTTGAGCATTGAGGATGTGCCCAGGGAGGACGAGGAGGTGGCTGCTGAGGACACCAGGGAGGGCGCCTCCCCTCCGGTGCCTGACGATCCCAGTGCGCTGGTGACGGTGGATGAGATACAGGAGGACAACGAGGACAACCCTCTGGTGACTCTGGATGAAGTGAACGAAGATGAAGATGATTTTCTGGCTGACTTCAATCGTCTGAAAGAGGAACTAAACTTTGTCACAGTGGATGAGGTTGGAGAGGAGGATGAGGAGGAAGAAAACGCTTTCCCAGGGAAAACTCTGGCTGAAGACAATGAAGATATAGTTGCCGTTACAGGACCAGAGGAGGAGGATATTGTTGCTGCTGCAGGACCAGAAGAGATGGAAATTCAGGGGGATGTGATTGCAGAAAAAGAAATTCCTGCAGTCTCAAAGTCAAAAGGTGAGACACCTCCTGCGCTTCCAGAGGGGAAAGAGGCAGGAAGATGCTTGTCATCATTACTAATGCACTTTACAAAGCATCTTCCTTCGGTGTAAAACTAAGCTGTGTGTTGATTTGAAGTCTTCATGGGGGGGTTATGGTGACTAAAATTGGGGAAGGTCATTTCTTTCTTGCCTTTAGGCTCGGTAAACTACCTAATGCTGTGCAGATTACTGATGTTCTTTAATTCCAGGGCCTAAATTCATTAAAACAGGTGAGTGAGATGAATTAGACACAGAGGTAGAGGGATGTATCCAAGCTGGATCCAGAGGGGAAAACATAGAACATCTTTGGCCTGGAGTTAGCAAAAGGTTAAGGAAGCCTCATGCAGGGAGAGCTCTAGGTAAGGCTTGGCCGAGGCGTGGGTGCAGGACATGCACGGTGCAGCCCTCTGCTGTGACGTGTCCTTTCTGTCCCTGCTGCTGGAACCCAGCACCCGCTGTGCCCCTGCTCTGGAAGAGCTCTTCTCCCATCCACCACCACCCAGCAGGGGCAAGCTGAGCAGTGCAGGTGCAGAGGAGCTGCAGAAACAGCCGGTGGCTTCTTAAACCAGAGCATTTTAAACATCATAGAATCATCTAATCACAGATGGGTTGGGGTGAAGGGAGCTTAAAGCTCCTCCAGCTCCAACCCCTGCCCCGGGCAGGGACACCTTCCACTAGAGCAGGGTGCTCCAAGCCCCTGTGTCCAACCTGGCCTTGAACACTGCCAGGGATGGGGCAGCCACAGCTTCTCTGGGCACCCTGTGCCAGCGCCTCAGCACCCTCCCAGGGAAGAGCTGCTGCCTAAGCTCTGTCTTACACTGCTGCAGCCCCAGGGCTGTGTGTGGCAGTCCCACCTGCAGGGTTGATGCTGGGAATGCTGGAAAGCTGCTCTCTGGAAAGACCAAGCTGAGTAGTGTAGACAACAGCAAAGCCCACGTGGATGGTGTTTGTGTCAAGCAGCACCGAGCTGTTTCAGCTGAATATAAAATACCTCTAACTGAGGCAATACCTGTGTTTTTCTGCCCTCAGTAGGTCACCCGGGATCAGGAGGGAAAGAACCTGAGCCTAAGAGGAAGAAACTGCCTTCATCAGGTGTATCAGGGGCTCAGAGTACTCCTAAAGGTAACCCCAAAACCACCCACCACATGCTCTGTGCTGCTCTCTCTGAGAGGCAGCTTCTTGTCCATTTGGAAACACCTTTTTGCCCCATTACCACATTGAACTTGAAAGTCATGGCCCATAATGTGTGTTTTCATCTCGGCTTCTACAAATGATGTTTCATGGAATCACAGCCTGGCTTGGATTGGAAGGGACCTGGAAGCTCTTCCAGTTCCAACCCAAGTTTAACAAGTCTCTGCTGTTGGCTTAATAGTGTCAGCAAAGTTAAAAGGTCTTTTATCCCCAACATTTCCAAATGGAGGTTAATTCACTTATAGTTAATACACATTGATAATTTCTCTCTATAAATATATACAGCTTAGGTATTTATGCATATAAATATATGTTATAATATTCCACAGTGCTGAATAGTTCCTACTTACTCTTCTAACTGTCAATGTTTTATTACCAACTTCAACGTATAGAAGTGAGGGAGCTGCTGACGTTGTTTTAGAAAGGTCTGTATGTGTGTATGTGTATTTCTGCCCCCCAAATCCTTCTCTGAAATACCTTCCCATAAAGCTACTGATAACACTTGATCTGAGGTTTGTAGGAAAACATGGATTCTTGCTCAATGCCTTGTGTAATAGTTGCATTCCAGAAAGCTTGTGTAACACCCTGTGGGATGGGGTTTAAACACAGCAAATGAGCTGTGTTTCATAGAACCATGGAATCCCTCAGCACCCTCACAGGGAAGAGCTTCTG